GGTGTTCTATATGCTTCTTGTATTTGTATGGGCATGTCTTTCTTTAATTTAATTTTAATTTTCTTCCACAATTTTGTTGAAGATCTGATACATTATATTGGGATTCTTCTCCTTCCTGTATGCCTATGATTCATGTTTGGTCTTTTTATGGTGTCACACAATTCTTGCACGTTCCATTCTTGTGATTTCTTAAATTTTTCATAATCTTTGCTTGAGTGGTCTACTTCATCCACTTTATCTTCCAGTCTTGATACTCTGTTTTCCATTTTGTTCATCCTATTGGTGAGGCTTTCTCCTGTTGTTTCTAGTTGGCTTACTGAGTTTTACTTCCTTCTTCATTACAACCTGAGTATTCTTCAATATTTCTAACTCTTTTTCTGAATTCATTCAGAAGTTTATCCCTACCTTCCTTCAGTTCCTTGATTTCTTTTTTTGTGTGTTCTTTAAATTCCCTGAATTCTTTTATCATGTTTATAATTGTTCTTTTTATTTCCATGTCCTGCATTATCTCTAGGGAGTTCTCATTGCACTCCTCTAGAGGACTATTGTTATTTGGTGGGGATATGTTATTTTGGTTTTTCATGTTATTTTTTTCTCTGTGATTTTGACATGTGAATTTCTTTTGTAACTTCTGATTCTTGTGTGAGACTTTGGCCTTCAAGTGTAGGTCTGCTTTGTTTTGTGAACTTTATGTGTCTTTGTGGTTTACTTTTTGGGTATGAAAGTCTGGTTCATCTAAGTTTCCGGTTATCTCGTTTGCTTTTATATTGGAGTGGCTGGATTTCTTTTGTCTTCAGGAGTTCCCACAGAGGCCCAATTCAGATGAGGGTCAGATGTTTTCAGGCTTTCTCTTAAAGTCTGAAGCCCTCCAGACACGATTTTGGCCTCAGGAATTTGGGGGTTGGACTGGCCTGGGAGCCTCGCCCAGGAATAATGCTGGTCTAGGACAGCTGGTGGCCGTCCCACCCAGAGATACAAAGGCAGAGGCGGTGGGAAGAGGCCCCAAGGACTCCTGGGGAGTGCACTGAGGAGCTGTGTTGTTCTGGATGCAAAGGATCAGGAAGAGGAAAGGTCAGGCCCCAGTCCCAGAAAGAGGCTGGTGGGTGGTGCAGGCCCAGGGATGCAGAGGGAGGTGAGGGCGGGGCTGGGCCCAGAAGCAGTGCTCCTGGGGCATTGAGAAAGCACTATGGTGGTCTGGATGAAAAGGATCAGGAAGCAGTATTGGCTCCCCAGGTGTCTGGGGCCCGAAAACAAGGAATGGGACAAGACCCAAACTGGGGGAGACTGTCGGGAAGATAGGAGGGTGAATGAGGCTGGGAGAGTCAAGGTGTGGAGGGCGCGATGGACTTACCCTGGAGAGAGGCCTGTGGGTAGGAGAGAGGCCTGCAGCAGGTGGTGCAGGCCCAGGGAAGCAGAGGGAGGTGAGCCATTGCTCTTCTTTTAAAAACAGGGTTTCCCAGTTGTCCCAGCTAGCCTGGAACTCACTGTATAGAAAAGGCTAGCCTCTAGCTCACAGAGCACTACCTGCCTCTGCCTCCTGAGTGTTGGGATTAAAGGTGTGTGCCACCATGCCTGGCCTCATTGCTGTTTGGGCGAGCGATTCTGGAGAGCTGAGCACCAGTGCTGATGGAGACTATTAATGGAATTCTGGAACTGATCAAATGTAGAGAATAGGTGTCTGTGAGACACTTAGCCCTAAGTGACACATCTTCAATGCAACCTCTATACAAAGGATGAATGCATCTCTCAACTCTCACCATAGAAGTTGCCTTATGCAGCAGATGGTGATTAACACAAACTCACAATTGGCCAGTGTATGGAGAATAAGAGGTTGCATCATGCTTAACCCTGAATAGGACACCTGTTTCAAACTTTTGCCTTCCAAGGCTCAGGGATCATTGCAGAAGAGAAGGCAGAAAGATTATAAGAGCCAGAGAGGGTGGATGACCACAAGGAAACAGTCTTCCAGACAGCTGGTCAGTTGCTCATTTGAACTCAGCAATGGTGACAGCATGCCCAAGTCTTATGCAAGCTCAAACAAGACAAAATTCCAGAATAGACATGGGGAAGTGGGTAAGAAATCGCAACCCAATCCAACTAAGGAACTTTTGGCAATTATGGCTGCTGGAAGGGGAGAGTCAGTGTCTTAGAGGGACAAGACTCTTGGTGGGCTCAGTGGACAGACCCATACTAAAAGACATTTGGGAGGGAGCACAAATCACAAATCAGACTCCGTGTACTGTATAATATATAGAAGAAAATCCATTAAATTGGACAGGGGTCAGTGGAGAAGGTATAGATGGGAGAATCTAAATATCATCAAATTATATTGTATGAAAATTGCAAAAATTCAGTGAAAAATAAAATTAAAAAAAGAGTGGAGAACATTTATGATAGCAAAAGAGCAAGAGATTAGAAAAAAAAAAGAAAAAGAAAAGTGAAAAGATTTCTCAACAGTGAAAAATTTCCAAAAACAAAATTAGATAAATGTAAGAAGGAGAATAAGCTGAGTGTGATGGTGCAGATCTTAATCTCAGCACTGGGGAGGCAGAGGCGGGTGGATCTCTGAGTTCAGGGATAGCCTGGTCTACATAGTGAGTTCCAGGACAGCTGGGGCTACAGGGAAACCCTGTTCTTTTTTTGTCTTTTTGAGATAAAATATAAAATAAAATAAAGAAACATAAAAATAAAATCAAATAAAAAATAGTTTAAAGTTAAAAAAAGAATAACTTAACCAAGGAAGTGAAAGACCTGTATACTAAAAACTATAAAACACTGGCAAAAAGGATTAACGGACATATGGAAACATATTTCATGTTCATGTATTGGGAGAGTTAATATTTTAAGATAATATTATCCCAACCAATCTTAAGAATTAAAATAATTCTTATTAAGATGACAGTGATGTTTTCTGTTAAAACTGAAAACTTTATCCTAAAATTCAAATGAAATTTCAAGAAATCCTATAGAAACCAATAGAAAAAAAAAGGTGGGCATGGTGGTGCACATCTATAATCCTAGCACATGGGTGGCTGCAACAAGACTCACCAGTCTAAGGCCGGCCTGGGTTGCATACTGTGTTTGAGCCCAGTCTGAGCTGCATAGTAAGAACTTATCTAAAGAAATAAGAATAAATACATAAAAATCCAGAGGGCTCACCATTCCTGACACAAAACTTACAAGTTACTTAGAAGTCTGAAGCAGTTAGAATGAATTAGCCCAAGAATTTGGAGGCAACCTGAGCAACACAAAAGCCTATCTCTTTAAAAAATGTACAGCTCTTGAGGTGGCTCAGAGAGTAAATGGACACTTGCTGCCAAGCCTGATTTCCATCCCCAGAACCCATATGGTAGAAGAAGAGAACCTAACCAACTCCTCTAAGTTGTCCTCCGGCTTTCACATGCAGGCTGTGACCTCTGACCTACACACACAATAAATAAATAAGCAAACAAACATATAAATATAAATAAATATTTAAAAATTTTTACCTTTCTACAAAAATGTTAGAATATCTTAGGTCTTCTGAGAAAGATGGAGGGCTAGAAGCTACATTCACTTTAGTCAGCGAAGGAAAAAATAAGAAATAACAGATTCTATTCCTAACACAGAAAGAGAGGAAGAGCTTCGGAAATCCACAAAGGAAATGAAAAGATAACAGAAAAGGGTATGGAGGGGAAGATAGGCAAGATACCAGTAAGAAGTAAGGTAAACAAAGCTTCAGCTGGACTGCTCCCCAGCAGGAGAAAGGAAAACAGAAGTAACTGCCAAAAGGTAAGCCAGATGGGCGGGCAGTCCTACTCTCCTAATAAGCCCACAGCCCTCACAAACCCCAAACCCAGCTGCAGGTTTGGGTGAGACAGTGGTCAACTGGAGAGAAATCCCATTTTTAACTGCAACCAGGAAGCATCTTGAGAGACTGTCTATGATTAAAAACCGAGCTACCCTCACAACAGGGACCAGCCAGAGGTTAGAGAACTTGCCAAAACACCTGGATGAGAGAGGCAGGCAGGCAGTTACAGAAAGCAGCAGGGTTACCTTTGGTGGCCAGAGTATATCTTAACAACTAGGGTTAATCCTGGAATTTAACTGTGCTAAGGCTGAGGCTAAGAATGGATCAAACTCTGGAGCCAACTACTGTTCACTGCTATAGAGTCCAAGAACTCTGAAGATTCAGGGATGTGCCTGATACTCATAGCTGCATTGCTCTAACAGTAAATTCTCAGGTTTTCAAAGTAAGAAGAGAGGCCCTCCACTTGTGCTGATCTCTTTGCTGTCATTGCTTCCTATATTCCCAACACACTTGGAAGACACCTTCCAACTAAATATCACCTACCCTACAGGGTATGACCTACAGTATTCTAGCATGTTGAAAGAATCTGCCTAGCCCACAGACTATGAAGCTAATAAATGTGGCCAGCAGAAGACCCTGGTAACAAAAGAAGTGAAGATAACTCCAATACAGGTTCAGTAACAGCGTAAACCATGGGAAAGACAAGAGTTCACAGGCTCAACTGACCCTACTCACCCTCCAAGCATATAACTGGTACTCTCCATCCTCAAAAAGGTCAAGGTCCCAGAAAGAAGATGCTCCAATACATCATTTTCTTCTTTTTCCACCTTGATGGTTGACTTTTTTCTTCTTACACTTTTAGCAATATTTTTACACTACATTGTGTTTTTAAAAATTTTTTGGTTTTGCTATTCCTAGTCACATACATCTAACTTTATGTAATTTTTCACTCTTAAGAAGTATTTTGTCTTTTTATTCCTTAGTTTCCTTTTATCTTTCTTGCCTCTATGTTTCCTTCTCTCTAACCACTATCATAGCACTATTTTGATGGCCATTTCATATAGTTATTTTATTGTTTTTTTATTGTATTTTGGTCTTTTTGAGACAGGGTCTCCCTGTAGCCCCAGCTGGCCTGGAACTCAATTATGTAGACCAGGCTGGCCTTGAACTCACAGAGATCTGCCTGCCTCTGCCTCCCGAGTGCTGGGATTACAGGCATGCTCCACCATGCCCGGTTTTGGTTAAGTTATTCTTATTTTACTCTTTTTGATGTTATTAAAGTAGATTTGTTTTCTTTTTGATTTATTTTTATTTTTGCCTGCATAGATGTAACTGTACCACATCCATCCACTGCTCACAGAGGCCTGAAGAGGGCATTGCTGGAACTGGAGTTAGTTATAGACAGTTATTAACTACCATGTGCGTGCCAGAAACCAAACCCCTGGCCTCTGCAAGAACATCCAGTGCTATTAATGGTGAAGCTGTCTCTCCAGCCCCTTCTCTTCCTCCTCTTCCTCCCTCCTCCTCCCCCCGTTTTTTGATATTGGAGATTGCATCCAGGGTTTCCTCTCCTCCTCCTCCTCCTCCTCCTCCTCCTCCTCGCCTTTTTTGAGACAGGGTCTCGGTGTAGTCCCATGTAGACCACGCTGGCCTTGAACTCACAGAGCTCTACCTGCCTCTACCTCTAGAGTGCCAGGATTAAAGATATGCACCACCATGCCTGGCCCCTTCTTATTTTTTAATGTAAAGATTTGTGGCCATATAGTTCTACCTTACTCCTGCTTTGGATGTATAACATATATGTTAGGTTTTTAAGCTTCTGTATTCCTTAGTTCCTAAGTATTTTATTTCCCTTTTTACTATTCTTTAGTATGTTAGTTGACTGTTATTTCCTATAAATTTGTAAATTTTCTACTTTTCTCTTTGTTATCCTAACTTCATCCCATTGTAGTTCATGAAAATACATTGTATGATCTTTATTGTCTTAAATCTATTAATAATTTCTGCTCTAACATATTGTCCTGAAAATGTCCCATACGCCCCTGAGAATGATATGACTTTTTTGTTTGTTTTTGAGACAAAGTCTCATGTATCCCAGGCTCGCCTGAGCTTGCTATGTAGCCAAAGATGGCTTTGATCCTCTTGTCTTTTTTTTTTTTTTTTAACCAGAGTGTTAGGATTATAAATATGTGCTACTATACCTGGTTATACGGTGCTTGGAAATGAATCCAGGGTATTGTGCATGGTAGGCAAGCATTAAATGAGCTGGCTACATCCTCAACCCTAAAGATATGTGATATGTTTGTAATATTTTAATCCTTGTTGGGTAACCTTTTTTTTTTTTTTTGGTATATGTTTGTTAGATCCAAATAGCTTATTGTGTTAATTCCTCTTTTTTTTTTCCCTCTTGGGTCTTTTTGAGACAGGGTCTCCCTGTAGCCTCATCTGGCCTGGAACTCATTATGTAGGCCAGGCTGGCCTCAAATTCACAGAGATCTGCCTGCCTCTTTAATCCTTAAGTGCTGGGGTTAAAAGTGTGTTCCACCATGCCTAGTCAAATTTTTAATTTTGTATCTGCTTGTTTATCAATTTTTGTTGTATTGAAATTTTTGTAGAACTGTGTATTTCTCTCTTTAATTCTATTATTTTTTGCTCTAATTTATATA